CTGCGTAAATATTTGCCAGAGAAATAAAGGTTTGATTTTTTCCAACCTGTCCTCTCGCTATTAAGACACTATGCAAAATCAGGAATTTATATGCTGAAATGTATAATTTATTTGCAAACGGAATGCCAATAATGTTGCAAGCCACCAAGTCAGCTGTTAAGAGTGGAAAACATCACACTTATTTCCTGCAAATATGCAGCTCACTTTATAACAATTATATATCAAAGTGTGTTTGGCTAAATCTGAAAAGGTTTCTTCCAATCTCACGATCATAAAGGTATCATCACTAAGCAATGTGGAGCTGATTACATTTATTTTAGAAGCTTACTTATTATTCTAGCCCCTTCTTCAACAATGTGGGGAAACTAACAATAAGAAATAATATGTATTTCTTCTCTGTGTTTTAGAGACAAAAAAAATTATATAATGCCCTTGAGAGAATGGATCAGATTGTTCCTTAGACCTGTGTTTGGCCCTCATTTCAAACCATATGAAACGTACACATTTTGATTTAAATTAAATTTGATACACAACAGCCTTCTCGTGCTAATGCAGATCCTTGTTTTGAGCGCAACTCTTAAGTTGCAAACCATTGCAGTTCAAAACCTCTATGACAACATCCTTCCTGTGGGTCCTTTCAGAAAGATTCTTTTCCCATAGGAAGTGGGAGTACCTACAACTATTGCGTGAAAAAGAATTCAGCATCACTTGTTTCCTAGAAGGAAATATTCATACCTCAAACACGTGACAGCAGATGTCAGCCCTGTAGTCCTGCCAAACTCAAATGGTGCTTCTAACAAGTTGTCTTCTAACAACTTCCTACATAGCAAGGCTACTTTCTTTTTTTTTTTTTTTCAATCAGTTCTGTAGCTCAGTTGAAGCTGAGGAACTTCAGGCTGGCACCCTCAACACCACTGCACGTAAATGTCTGCACCCAGGTGCCCTCAAGTAACCTTTACAAAGTTAGTTTGCAAGAGATGTGCCCACTGAAGCAAGCCACTCCATTCAAAACTAGAGTTTCTCATCACATTGGAAAACACAAATGCAGTATTTAGGAAGAACTAGTGGATGGCAGTACACTGTGTCATACTGCAATTTTTCTTCTTTTTTTTTTGAGTCAGAGTCTCACTCTGTCGCCCACGCTCTGCACGCTCACGGCCACCGCAGTTTCGACCTGCTGGGCTCTGGTGATCCTTCCACCTCAGCCTTCCAAGTAGTAGGAACTACAGGCTTATGCCACCATATCTGGCTAATTGTTTTATTTATTGTAGAGACGAGGTCTCACCAAGTTGCCCAGGCTGGCCTCGAACCTGTGGGCTCAGGCAATCCTCTCACCTCAGCCTCCCAAAGTGCTAGGATTATAGGCGTGAACCACCACACCCAGCTAAAATTTTTCTTTTTAGCACTGAGATAAGCTGTTAAAAGAGCCTTACTGACCAAGACAGTGTGTTACACGCTTGTGCACCCTACAGCACAAAGCAGGCTGTCTTGGAGATGTGCTTAATTAAGTGGATACATACACAAATGATCTCAGAATAGAGAATTATAATTTTAGCTACTGCCATCTTTTTTTTTTTAACATGGGGTATAATTCAGGGTCAGGTATACAAACGGCCATTATGCAGGTACCCTGTTGATGAGGTGTGCCCCCACTTCCCTGACAGTTTTCCATGTTTACTGCAGCATTATTCGTCATCTTTTTTGTTTTTTAAAGAGATAAGGTCTTGCTCTGTCACTCATGCTGGAGCTGGAGTGCACTGGCACAATCATATGCAGCCTCAAACTCCTGGACTCAAGCAATCCTCCTGCCTTAGCCTCTCACGCAGCCGGGATGACAGGCACACCATCACATTCACCATGGCCATTGACAAAAATCACTATCATTTTATGGATCACTCAAAAGATATTTAGAGTCACTAACATTTCCATATCACTTCATACAGTATTTTTTTTTTTTTTTTTTTGAGATGGAGTCTCACTCTGTCACCCAGACTGGAGTGCAGTGGCCGCTCCCGGTCACCACAGCCTCGACCCGCTGGGCTCCGGCAATCCTTCCGCCTCAGCCTTCCAAGTAGCTGGAACTACAGGCACATGCTACCATGCCTGGATAACTTTTTATTTATTGTAGAGATGAGGTCTCGCCAAGTTGGCCAGGCGGGTCTCGAACCTGTGGGTTCAGGCTTCATACAATATTAACAGCAAAACCAAAGTGTGTGTGTCAGGCAGCAGGTGCAGGGCAGGCACGACCCTGGGTGCATTGAGTCTTACTGCACTCCGTGGCCACCTGACATTTCACAGTGGGACAGAGGAGCCTTTTAAACATACTTTCCAGTTGGCTGTCTCAGTCGACAATCTAATAGAATGCACGTTCCCAGTTTTGAGGAAATGGCGGAACGTTTAACATCCAAGAACATTTCTATCTGAAATGAAGCATGATCTGTTTCTGAGGGGGAAGCATTATTATTCTAAGGAGGTGAGAAACTCTTCATCCGCTACACCCAGCCTTCCTGCAGTGGCATCATGAACTCAAAGTGAATATGATGCCACTTCGGGACAGTTTTTTCTGACTCCAAAAACATCTGCGTCACAATATGTGGAAAATGCAACAACAATTTCTTTAACAAAACAACATCTAAACCTCTCAGGGAGCACTACAAAAAAAGAATCACTGTTGGCCGGGCACAGTGGCTCAAGCCTTAAGTCCCAGAATTTTTGGAGGCCGTGGTGGGAGGATTGCTTGAGCCCAGCAGTTTGAGATCAACTTAGGCAGCATAGGAAGGCATCGTCTCTAAACAAAAAAATTTAAAAAGTTAGCCACGGTAATGCTTGCTGTAGATCCAGCTACTTGGGAGGCTGTGGTGGAAGGATCACCTAAGCCCAGGAGGTCAAGGCTGTGGAGAGCCATGATTGTGCCACTGCACTCAAGTCTGGGTGACAGAGAGAGACCCTGACTCAAAAAAAAAAAAAAAAAGAAGAAAGAAGAAGAAAAAGCAGAAAACAATTCTTTCTATATATATCCTATTGACTGCTTCTCTGGAGAACACTAATACACACTCCCTCTGTCAATGTGAGAGCGTCTCAATTTCACCCTAATAGTTTTATTAGGTTTTGAACACTAATTTGATAAGAATAAAGTACTATATTATTCTAATTCTCATTTTTTTAATTACTAGTAAAGCTGAAACTTTCTATGATATGTTCCTTGGTACTGTTTCTTCCTGTGAGTTATCTGATTTTATTATCTTTCTATTTTTTTATTGCTAGTATTTTTCTTGTTAATTTATAAGAGCTTATTAAACATTCAAGATATGGATGCTTAGGCTTTTGCATTTGTTTCAGAAATATTACACATCTTCGTAATTTTTTCATTAATGATTAAAACAAGTATAAAGAACTTTGCAAATATATAAAAATAAGAACTTAAAAATTATCCATGTCCTATATTAACTGGTGAAAGTTGTCTTTCTATCTCTTTTTCTGTGTTTGTAGATATTTTAAAATAAAGTTAGAATCAAACTGTATTTTGTATTTTTCTTTTTCTTTTTTTTTTTTTGGGTTGGAGTCTCAATCCATTGCCCAGGCTGGAGTGCAGGGGCACATTCACGGCCAGCCCAGCGTTGACCTGCTGGGCTCCAGCGATCCTTCTGCCTCAGTCTTACAAGTAGCTGGAACTACAGGCATGCCTGGGTAATTTTTTATTTATTGTAGCGATGAGGTCTCGCCAAGTTGCCCGGCCTGGTCTCGAACCCATGGACTCAGGCAATCCATTCACCTCGGCCTCCCAAAGTACTGGGATTACAGGCTGAGCCACTGAGCCCAAGTAAGTTTTTTAAAAATTTATTATAGAGACGAGGTCTCACCAAGTTGCCCAGGCTGTTCTTGAACCCATGGGCTCAGGCAATTCCCTCATCTCAGCCTCCCAAAGTGCTGGGACGATGGGCTTGAGCCACTGTGTCTGGTCTATGTTCTGCATTTTTTAACAAATATTATGCCACATGCATTTTCTCATGACATTATTCTTTTATTTTTATTTATTTATTTTATTTTTTATTTGTTATATTTTTGCACTTACTGCAGAGCAGGCACCCTGCTGAGCGCTCTACTCATTTAATCCTCACGTCGTTGGGGGGGGGGGGAATATTCCCTTTTGCAGATGGGGAAACTAAGGGCACGGAGGCTGAGCCGGGAAGGCCGCAGGACCAGCCTCTGACCCCAAGCGGGTGACGACTCCACTCAGCCTCAGTTTTCCCTCTG